GCCTCGTTCGCCACACCTTTTATAACAAAAACTTTGAGATAAAGAATTGGGTACTACCCGTAGGGGTTACTATCTGAGGACATATCTCGCCCCAAAAACAATCTCAACCAATCAAACATGATACCTTGCCTCGCATGGCGAAAATCAATCTTTCAAAAGGATATGTTACGTCCGTTCTACCGCAAACAGGTAACGGATAAGTCTCCTCACATGCGAGCAGCAAAACACCAAAACTGCTAGAATGCGCACGATAGCATCATCCACAAAAAAAAACATCAATACACCGTAGGCCGAACTACGACTGCTCTGATTCTTTACTTTCTCAAGTAAAGATACGTAGGCACAAGGGCCACAATCCTTGCCGAGCACATTCCCCCCATATCTGTAGTTCCCCGAACTACGTCGACTCTGACTTTCTCACATCTATTGAGAATACGTAGGCATAGGACCGCGAAGTCCTACCGAGTCTGTTCTTTCTCTTTTCTTCCCTGTTCTCTCTTTCCTCCTAACTTTCTTGTTTCTAACCTTTCTTTTACCCAGTGAAACACTCTTCTTATAGCATAATATTTAAGCAAATAAATTCACACATCGACAAACAAAAGGTTCCCATCGAGTACGATGGATGTGAGGGGTGCTAATACCTTCCCCTCGCATAACCAGGCTTCCGAACCCGTTCTTGGTCGCGAGACCATCTTATCCTTTTCTTTTCTTAAGGTTTTCTCGATATTTTCCTTTCCCCTCATGGGATGAATAAAGTTCGGTGGCGACTCTTCTGTCTATCCTTTTCGCCTCCCCGTCGTTGCGCGATGCATTTTTCGAGTAGCGACAATGATCATGTGAAGCAAATGAGATAAAGTGGCCATTCAATGAACCTCTATACATGAAAATAATAACCTCAAACATGTTAATCAAAGCATATAAGAATCATCAAACATCCATTGAATCATCCAAGAAACAAACTCCAAATACTAGGTCAAGACATGCACAAAATCATAGTCAAAGCAACAACAACTTGATGCACCATCCAAAAATAGAAACAAGACCAAATAAAATCCAAATAGGAATTCAAACTCAATTCATTTGTATTAAGAACCAATGTAAAAAGGATCATAACATTGATTGCATGGAAACATCATCAATTGCATCAAACAAACTCAAGTACTCAACTAGTCAAGCATATTTCGAGGGCTAAACAAAATCGATTAAAAATCAACCAAACATTGATCACCAAGGCATGAAAATAGCATCCAAACACTCATCAAGCATGTTCCAAATATGGTAAAAAAAATTGGGTTAAAAACCACAAAGAAAGGGCATGAAACAAGATCAAAGTTTGAAACTAGGTCAAATAAACACCTTATGAAAATAAATCCAAATAAAATAATAATAATAAATAAAAATAAAAATAAAAATCATGAAAAATTAAATAACATGTTGAACAATCATAAATATACTTTTTATTATTTTTAAAATAGTTGGAAGTATTAAAAATAAAAGGAAATGAAAAATGGAAGAAAATAAAATAAAATAAAAATAAATAAAGAGGAAGGAGGGGTGTAATAGCAGTTTTGGAATAAACTAGGTTCATGTTAAAACGCTCTGATGGGCCAAAACATGAAGGTGTGGGTATCAAAAACATAATCCCAATGTCCATTAAATAAAAAATTTAGAAACCACGTGGATCAAATGACACACGAGCATTTTAAAAGAGCTGACAAGTGACTCATTGCTAACTGGACAGGGTCAACGAGTCAGACCAAAGCCAACTCAGCAGAAACCTAGACGTTGGAGCTTTTCTCTGGTCGTCTTCTCCGGTGGTACACTCCAGAGCTCAGACTAAAACCTCATCAAATCACAACAACCTAGACACTATTTTATAGCATTTTTCATATAGAATCCAAATATGGCCTTAGATTTAACATTGGAGCACTTAATCATGATGAAAACACAACACGAAAATCTAGTGCACATACTAAAAGCTTCTTAAATCAACACAACAATGCAACAAACACATTCTACCATGGTATAAAGCATCATATCCACTAACAATGAAACAAAAATACACAAGAACAGAGAGAAAGGAGTTGAAGAATCTTACTTAACGGAGAAGCTCTGTTGGCCCTTGAAAACTTACAAAAAGCTTCATAAAAACGCATATACTATATTCTTTGTATCCCAGTGGTGATAGATCAGTCCAAAAAAGAAAGAAAAATGAGAGTAATGAGAACTTCGAAGAGAGAAAATTTTGGAGAAAAAATGTATTTCTGATCTTCAATTCTTGCAGCCACTAAGTCTGAGCTTTTAAGGTTTGGGTTGGATTATATATGAGGGTTTAGTGTGGTTATATGAAGGTTTTATTGTGGTTAAAATTATGGTTTAAAATTTGTAAAAAATTTCAAAATGGTGAATGAGTGAGTGCATGGTACGAGTTAGCTCATGGTGAGGTGGTATGGTTGTCATTTGAGAGTGGAAAAGAGGCTTAAAATGGAGGGAGTGGAGAGAAAAAGTGGTGAGCAAGCTTTATGGATGATTTGCATTTTTCTCCTTTTTGGAAAGAATGTTAAACAATGATGGCATGTAGTACGCATGAGGTTTAGTCACTTATGGCAATGTTTGGTGAGGTTTTTGATGAGGTATCATGCGCATGAAGTAAGATTGGAGTGAAGGCTGCATGAAAATTCATGATATGCATGAGTGTGTTACAATATGGTATACATGATCCTCCAACCAAGTATCTCACTTTGGTCCATCCTAACTTGGTGGTTTTTGATGAAAACCATGAGTTCTTATGCTCAATGTAAAGCTAAGGCCATAATAAACATCTTTCATGTTAATGGCAACTTTAAACAAGCCTTGGAAGGTCATGGAAAATAAAGTTGAAAATGTGTCCATCATTATGTCATAAGTGACTTAGAAAAATTCTAAGTCATGGAAGTTTTGACATCATTGACAACTTGACTTTGAAGGCACATAACTTTATGCGTTTTTGTCCAATGAAAATAATCTAGTAATGGATAGAAATCTTGACAAATGATCTTCAACTTTCATGTTCAAAGAAAAATGATTTGGAGTCAAGAGCTTGGTGAAAAGTGCCTTGGAAAGTTGCATCAAAAATCTGCCTAAAACTTGTCCAACTTGACATCTTTGAAACCCTAACTTGGAGACATCATAACTTGAGCTCTATACATCCAATGGACGAGTTCTAATATTCAAAAGAAAGTTTGGAGGATGCTCTACAACTTTCATGTTGGAGGAAAAGTCATTTGAAGTTTGCATCACCATGTAAGATAGGCTTGAAAACATGTACTTCATGCTGAATTTTCATACTTAAAAAAATTTCTAAGTGTTAAAATGACAAAAGCTCCATTTTCTCAACTTTAGCTATTCATATCTTTCAAACTATGGATCTTTTGGACTTTCTTTCTTCTACAAACTTGTAGTTCATTATGTCCTCTTTAATTTGATAACAAGTTTTCCTCCATTGGATCAAAGATGAGAAAGTTATGGATGTTGCAAAGTGGCTAGAATTAGGGTTTTCTACACTTGGAAAATATTTCACCAAAACCTTAATCCAACAAAAATCTTGATTTTGTGTTTCTAATTGACTTTTCTTGTTCCAAACACATGAAAACACTTGAAAGCACATAACATACCCTTGGTTGACCTTGAAAACCAATACTTTGACCCCATTAAGCTACAATTGACTTTTGTTTACTAGATGAAATCCTAGCACATTTTCCATTGATTGAAGCTCTTGTCATGGCTTGTGATGATACATAACACATGTAGAGGACCCTCAAGATGTGTATTGAGCATTAGAATAATTTCTTTCCCAAAGAACTAGCCACAAATGCCTTTTGATTAAAACCCTAATCCAGTTGTTCACAAGATAGGAGGAGGTGATCAATGCTTGTAGATTTGCCTCAAATGATTTGTGAGAGATGCTTTGATGATGAGAGGACCTTATGACTTGAGAACACCACAAGGTTGAGAATGAATCCTCTGTTGAGCTTTAAGGATGAAGCTTCTTCTTGAGAATTGAGCAAGATACCTTGACCCTTTGCCTAGAACCAATGATATGCACAAATGACAATGCAAAATGATATGAAACATAAGCCAAGAGATTAAGAAAAAGGGTGGACAAATTTTGGGGTGCTACAATCTGGAGGCAGTATTATCTCAAATACAACAAGAAGGATATAAAGAGGACTTGTATTTTAAAGAACAAAAGGCTCAGCTGGAATTGGAAACTGCTTTAAGAATGGAAGAACTATTTTGGCAAGATAAATCTCAAGTAAGATGGCACAATGAAGGAGATAGGAACACAACTTACTTCCACAGGATTTCTAAAATTAGAAGCTGCACAAAAGTCATTTCCTCTATTCTTCATGAGGGGGACATTTTCACAAATCCTGAGGAGATTTCAAACATTTTTCCAACCACTTTGAGAAATTGTTTAGTACTACTAACAGTTGCATTGATAATTTAAATTTAAAAATTGATATAATTTTTAAAAAAAAAATTTAAATTTAACTAAATAATTTGGGTTAAAATTAAAATTCATTTAGAACCGATTTAGAACAAGTGGTTTGATTTATAAACTATAACCATAAAAATAAATTGACTGATTAGGGTGATTAGGCTCGGTAAAAGTACAATTACAATGATCAGTCTCAATATGTCAACTTCAACACTCTTACTATCAAAAAGTTGTTTTTCAACTGCATGCATACAAGAACCCTTTCAATCTTGCATGTTTGAATGATTTGTTCATGATTATATGATAGAGGATGAAATGAAGTCTCAAGGGAATGAAACTGATGGAAACTTTAAAAGGCAATTTTGAGTCTTACATTACAACACAATGTTTTTTTTTCATTCTTCAGGATATCGATGTAGAACCCAATCAATATATGATTGTTTTATTTATACGGAAGATTAACACCAACCGCTTAAATAACTGAAAAATCAACTATATAAAAACTCATTTGATCCAAATATTAATCAGTGATCTGCAGCTGACCATTAGGCTCAATTACAGACCACTTGTTTACACGTGAACCAGCCTTCTCTGCCTGCACAAATTCATACAGTCAAAACAAATACACACATAAGATATATTAAACAAATGAATAACATAACATAATTAAGGTTTAAGCTGAAATGTATATAATTTACCTCCTTTTCCCAATCACACCGTACTGTTATTACGATGAGTATCAAAGTTTGAATTGTTGTACCACCAAATATCATCCCTCCCCATATACCCTAATGTCACCACCAGATATATATTAACATATTATTCAAAGCTTAAACATAATATAATATTAATGATTTTCTTCATGAATTATTATTACTTACTTCAACACCAATGTTGAAGATCCATCCCATGATAATTCCAAGTGGGAGTCCAATTAGATAGTAACATCCAATATTTATGTATGCCACAAATCCTTGCCAACCCGAACCAACAGCTACACCTGCATGCATGCATTTTTACAATCAATTATTTAGTATAATTACTTTTTGAATTAAGTTGATCGATCCTTTTTACCTGATAGAACAGGTTGAACACTATTGAGAAGAATGGTGACTGCCAAGAGAATTGACATATCGTTAACAGCTTGAAGAACAGAAGGGCTTGAGGTGAAAATGTATGCAAATTGTCTCTGAAATATCATTATGAGTACACAAAAGATTAATCCAATGACTGTTGATTGTATCACTGATACTTGCATTGCAAATTTTGCTGATTTTCCTTTTCCTGCTCCAAGTTCGTTCGCCACCCGCACCCTGCAATTTGTGTCATCGCTTAATTTATAATTATGTAAACGGTTGATTAAGCACAACCTTAAATATATTTTTAGTGAGTGTGATAGCATTGATAGTGTCTTAACTAAACTTTGTTAATAGTATTTTTTTTTATTCATTCTATGACATATATATATATATATATATATATATATATATATATATATATATATATATATATATATATATATATATATATATATATATATATATATATATATATATATATATATATATATATATATATATATATATATATATATATATATATATATATATATATATATAATTAATATAAATAATTATTTTCTAAATTTTATTTATCATTTTAAAATCTCTGTAAAATAAACTGATAAAATAGTTTTCCTAAAGTGGAGAGAATAATATCAATTTTGATGAACACTCAAGTATCCATAGAGTTTTGTTGGATACCAACTCATCATTCCCTAGTTGGATGTTATGTCATTTACTTATAATAATTTATTTTATAAATTAAATTAAAATTGTAAATGAATTTTATTTAAAAATACTAATAATCAATTAAATTTAATAAGAAATAATATTTTGACACCAAGTTCTACACATACACCTTATATCATTATTCACAAATACTATGAATAATGACATTTATAATTTTGACTTTTCTTTCTTTAAAATAATTTTGATTTTTTTTATTTCATTTCATCTTAGACCAGCTTTAGCGTTGGTTCTTCCATAAGATCGTCAGCGTGGCACTTCAAAGGCTACAACCAGCATGGCAAACGTTGAAGAGGGAGCAACGAAAACATTGTACTTTTCTTTCTTTTTTTAATGAAAACTAGCCGTTCAACGGCTAGTTGCTTTTTTTTTTTCAATTTCTTTTTTTATAAATATACTAGTTTATATCTAAAATTTCACCAACACAAATTTTCTCTCACTTTTATTTTTTCTTCAATTTGAAATTTCTCTCTCACAATTTCATCATTTTATTCCTAAACTTTTTATTTTTTTCAACAATTTATTCTCAAATGGATCCTAATCATTTTCATTATCAACAAGCTTTCTTCAATTACATGCAAAATTATCAAAATCTTAATCCTCAAAATTCTCAAATTTCATCGGTACCAAACAATCCAAATATGTTTCCTAGACCTCAAATGAATTCTAATAGTATGGAATTGTCTACTCAAGTTCCACCATTTTCTACTCAAGTTGGTACTGAAAAAGAAGAAAGGGTTGTCATTAAAAAAAATCTCGAGAGCAAATTACAAGGGATGAGGATATATACTACTTATCCAATCATGGCTCAATGTTTCAAAGGATCCAATTATGGAGCTTGATCAAAAGGCTGAGAGTTTTTGGTTAAGAATCGCGGCTAGTTATAACTAATATCGTGGGCAATCGCGGGAAAAGTCAGGGGGACAATTAAAATGTCGATGGCATCGAATAAATGACATGGTTCAAAAATTTGTTGGGTGTTACAAAAATGTTGTTAAAGGAAAGAAAAGTGGGACATCGGAGTTGGATATCATGTTAGATGCACATGCTTTTTTAGCTCAGGATCAAGGTACAACATTCAATCTTGAGTACGCATAGCGATTGTTAAAAGATGAAGCTAAATGGTGCATCGTCGGAGAATCGATTGAAAGTTCTTCAAAAATAACAAATACTTATGCTAGTAGGGCATCATCGGAGAACCCAAATACAACTTCAAGTTATGAGTTTAACTCATCATCACCAATGGAGCGTCCAATGGGACAAAAAGTAGCAAAAAGGAAGGCTAAGGCATCAGAAATTCCAAATGCAACGCAAGATGTAAGAAATAAAAGAGCATAATGCATGGGAAGACTTGCACAATGTAAGAAGGATGAGATAGAATTAAAGGTAATACAAATCATGATAAAGGACACTTCTACTATGACCGATAGGCAACGAGATATTCATGAAAAGTATTGTAATAAGATGAAGAAAAAAATAATGTAGTTAATATCACTTATGTAAAATGGTCATTAGTACCACTTTATTTTATCAACACCTATGTAAAATGGTCATTAGTACCACTTTATTTTATCAACACCTATCTAATATGGTCATTAGTACCACTTTAAATTAAACTAGCCGTTATTCAAACCATTATATATACTACCACTTATGTCATTATTTTATCATTCTCATATTTACCACATATCTTTCATTTTTCTCTCATTCTTTACTAACTACAATGGATTCATACAATTTAGATAATAACGATCAAGAATTTCGGGCGTTGGTTGAAGAAGAATTTATGGACGACAGTGGTGAAGAACAACAACTTCAAAATTCTGGGAGTTCTTCTAGGCAAAAGAGAAAAACAACTATAGATCGAGGTCACGAAGAAGGTCACAATCGATTATTCAATGACTACTTCTCAGAAAACCCAGTATACACAGATGTTCAATTCCAAAGAAGGTTCAGAATGCATAGGCATGTATTTCTTCGAATTGTAGATGCCCTTGGCAATTATGATGAATATTTCCAAATGAGGGTCGATGCAACTGGTATAATGGGTCTTTCACCATTGCAGAAATGTACAACTTCTATTCGTATGCTGGCGTATGGGTCTCGTGCTGACCTTGTAGACGAATATGTTCGAATCGGTGAAAGCGTCTCAATTGAGTACTTACAAAGATTTGTTAAGGGCGTGAATGTTGTATTTGGGGCTGAGTATTTGAGAAAACCTAACAACATTGATGTTGAACATCTTTTACAAATGGAAGAGTCACGTGGCTTTCCAGGTATGTTGGGTTCCATTGATTGTATGCATTGGGTATGGAAAAATTGTCCTGTTGCATGGAAGGGACATTTTTGTCGAGGTGATCATGGTAAACCCACAATCATGCTTGAAGCAGTGGCATCACAAGACTTATGGATTTGGCATGCTTTCTTTGGTATTGCAGGTTCAAACAATGACTAATGTGCTAAACCAATCCAACATGTTTAACGATATTTTGAAAGGACATGCTCCAAATGTGCAATATACAATAAATGGGACACCATATAATATGGGATATTATTTAGCGGATGGTATATATCCTGAGTGGGCTACATTTGTCAAGACCATTTCAATGCCACAGGGAGAAAAGAAAAAATTATTTGCTCAACATCAAGAATCGGCTAGAAAATATGTGGAGCGAGCATTTGGAGTACTTCAATCTCGATTTACAAATATACGTGGCCCAATGCGTGCCTGGCACATGGACACCATCAAACATACTATATATGCCTGCATTATATTGCACAACATGATTGTGGAAGACGAACGACATACATATGGAGGTAATTTTGATTACTCTTATGATAATGTGGATATCAACAACTCAACAACTGAAACATTTAGCGGTCCTCGTCTGAATCTTGCAACAAGACTACAAAGAAGAGCAAGTATTCGTGAAAAACAAGTTCACCGTCAACTTCAAGGAGATCTAGTCGAGTATATTTGGGAACGTTTTGGACATGAAGATGATGAAATTTAAATTTGATTAATTATATGATGTTATTTATTTTTATTGTTTTTAATTATATATCATGTATTTGAGATTAATTTTAATTATCATTTTAGATTATAAGTTTAATTTGAATTTTATTTATTTTATATCAATTTTAATTTAAATAATTAAAATTATTATTTTAATTAATATAAAATTTAATATGAATAATATATTAATATATAAAGTAAAGTTGTGAGACTCAATATGAGTTCTTCAGAGTTACACTATTAGAGTGAAAAATTGAATGAGTTTTTTCAATCTGACGTGGCTTAATAAGTCCCATAAAAAATTCAAAAATGGATTAGACAATAAATTTGAGAGGATCCATTAATGATCCTTAAAAAGCCGTATTTAATATTGAGATATATTTTACTTAAATTTCAAAATGAAAATACATACCCGGTACCAGCAAAGAAAGCCAGAGGAATCATGATTTCCCATCCATTGATAGTCATACTGCAAAACCAATTACATCCACTTTAATAAATATTAAACTTGTAAAATTCAAATACTTGTTTGTCACTGACAACTTACCATACAGACAATGCATCAACAGCAACAGTTGCATTTTCTAACTGACCAGTCATAAGCAGCAGTATCCTGTAATACCAATTCTCTAAACAAAGCATCACTCCTGAAGCAAATGATAGTTTGAAGAAATCCCAAAGACCATAAAATGCTTCCATTGTAAAACCATTCCAAGTCAAAGGACAACCACCGCAAACTGTGTAACCAAACATCCCAAACACCAAAACCCACCATGAAACATCCAATGCAATAGCAGCACCAATAAGTCCAAAATCCCAAACATAAACCAACAACCAACTCGTTACAACATTCACCACCAAACCCAACAATGAAACCCATGCAATCACACCTGTTTTCAGCTGGCACTGTAGAAACCTCTGAAGAGGAAACTGAAAAGCAAAACTGAAATGCAAAGGTATAAGCCATATAGCCACGGTACCACTCGATTCCGCCACGTCATCGGGTTGTCCAATAAATTTGAGAAATGGAGTAGCAAAGACATAGAATGGTAACAAAAGAAAACAACATACGAACAGAACAATCCAACATCTTTGCAGATATATTCCTAACATACTATATCGTTTTGCACCAAACGCTTGTCCACAAAGTGTCTCCAACGCGCTTGCCATTCCCAACTTTTTTTTTCCGTCATAAACATCAGACACAAGTTAATCTATCATCATCACATCTCTTATCAAGAAAATTGCAGCATAAAATAATGTTAGGAAGAAGGACTTACCAGGAGGCCGAAGTTGAAGCCAACGATGACGGTGTTGGCGATGGTGATGGAGGCGAGTTCAACTTCACCTAGGTGACCGGCAAAAGCTTGACTAACGACGTTCATGGTGAATGATGCGATACGACTGAAGATAGCGGGACCCACAATCAGCCATAGTTTCTTAGTTTCAATCCATAGCTTCTTACCAAATCTTTCTTCTTCCTCAGAAACCTCATTTGATAAGAGAGATTGGACAAGAGTGTCATTAATATCATTGTCTTTATCGATACTATCCATTGAGATAGAACTTCAGTTCAAGAAATGACTAGTGTTGAGATATTCTTCTACAATTTAGTTGTTTTTAACTTATTTTTTCATACAACAATATTTCTATTTGTAAAATTATAGAATAGATCTGCCCCGGTGAGAAGAGTGATTATATTTGAACTTTTAAAATTAAAGACAAATAAATTCATCATTAAATTTGAAGGTAAACAATCAATTCATGTCCTTGTTTATGTAATATTGACAAGTACTTTTGTTTAGAGGATTCTTAATTGGAGCATATAATTATAAATTTAATTGAGACTGGATGGTTACTACAATCTATATTTATGGAAATTGGTTGATGGATGGACTAAATAATTGATAGTTTTTCATTTTACCTCTTTTCTAATTAAAATGACAATTTACTTTTTTTCTTTCTTAAATTTATTGAATAATCAATAAGAATAGAAGAGATATATTAATTATTTTAATAAACTCTAAAATTAAATTATCTCTTATAAAAAGGACTAGAAGAAATAATAATATATTGTTGTGCTACTTTAAAAACTTAAATTGTTATCCTTACCATTTTAAGAAAACAATAATTAGAATTTTGAGCTAATAACCCATTAAAAATATTCCATTATGTTGTAATTTATTTAAATATAATTATAATTTTGAAATTGTTTTTACTCAATTTTTAAAAATTATTTTATACTTTTCATTCTAAATTTTCACTTCTGACAATTTTAAAAATCCAATTGACCAAGTTTGACTAAAAATTATATTAGAGTAATATATATATATATATATATATATATATATATATATATATATATATATATATATATATATATATATATATATATATATATATATATATATATATATATATATATATATATATATATATTATCTACAAAAGCACTCTATTCTACCACATCATCGAATTGTCCTATGAGTTTGAAAAGTGGAGTAGCAAACACATAAAACGACAACAAAAGAAAAGAATTCATGTTACACACATATTGAAATCAATTTGATTAGACCTAACACTACACAATATGATAGTAAGGATTATGATAACAAATACACATATGAGGTAGAAAACAATATTATGATAGGATTAGGTATATAAGACACAAATAAAGGGAGGCTAGTAAACACAAAAGACCCACCCTAGTGGACTAGGTCCTTGCAAAAGGGAGGCAGGTAAATTTAGAAGACATGATTGCCTTATCGGGCATTTCCAAGACCCTGAAAGGTAGGTTGCACTGTAAAATCTATCTGAATAGATAAGGTTTGGTATTTTCACTCTGTTCAAATTAGGTTAAGTTTGCCCTAATATATCAATTTTAACTAAGTAGCTAGAAGTCTATATTCGTGTATTGTGAAAGCAATGAAAGTTATGTTCTCTTATTCACTTATCTATTACGAGTATGGTAATATGTGATCGTGTAATCATGCACTGTGAGAACTTGAGATTTGATCTCTTGATTCGTATGCTTAATATGTGAGTGTACTATTATGTTAACTGGACAATATTAGGCACCTTTGGTCAATGGGACTCATATGTGGGTGAGATCCACTGAGGTAAGTTGTATCTCACTCCATATTAAATATTTGAGATGGTTCGGGAAAACATAAAGGTAAAGGAAAGGCATCTTGAAGACCTTGAAGAAATGTTGTTTTGACTTATGTTTTCGCTGTGATTATTAATCTATTGTAGGATTTTATCAAAGATCTTTTATGTATATACATTAATCATTATATCTTGTATTTTGGAAAATGTTATATATATGTGGATGCCATTTAGATAATGTATGCGCTCAATACAAGTTTACCATTTAAATGTAATACAATTCTATATGTGTATTGTATTTGGGTGTTACGGTATGTATCAGAGCATATCGAATTTTATGATTCGTACACACCTCCCTTCTTCTGGGTCTTACCTATTCATAAAGGATTCCCTTTTTTGAATTTCCTAGATATCAGCATATACCGAGATTCAAAGTGTTATTCCACTTCAACAAATTGAAGGTGAGAAATAAACACAAGAAAGGGGGGGATTGAATTGGGTTTATGCCTAAATAAAAACTTTTTCATTTTCTTGTCTTCTTCTTCTTCACTTGATGCTTTATGCGTTTATATTAAATAAATTGCGGAAGCATAAATAATAAAACATACTGAAAGTAAAGAACACAACATATATCCTGGTTCACTTGAGCAACTCCCAAGCTAATCCAGTCCACCCTTCCAAGGTGATTTCGCCTTAATCAATTAAGGACTTAATCCACTATAACCGAACTGATTACAGATGCACAAGCTAACTGCAAGTGATTAACAACAGATCAATGAAACGTTCAGGGATCCCCAAGGATATAACGTTCATTAACATCTAATAGAATTCGATCACTAAAGATCTCCTATTAGAAAACCACAAATGACTACTGTCACTTGTCATCTCAAGTATACTGATCTTCACAAGATCACTTGAGGAACCACTAATTCTAAAATAGGATGTTGTGTTGCCGGAGATTACAATGGTGCTTCCTAGCAAGCTAATTACTCCAAGTTTAGCACATAGCAAGTAATGAGCAACAACTCCTTGCTTCCTAATGCAGAAACTAATCTAATGATGAATCTCTAAGAGATTGTAAGAACATAGTTTCCATATTGCTTAAAAGTTTTTTTTTGTGTGAGCACTAAGGCTTCTTTTCATTTTAGCTTTTCTTCTTTCTTTCTTTCTTTCTTTCTTTCTTCCTTTCTTTCTTTCTTTACTTCATGCTTACAAGCATGGTAACATTTGAATGAATCAAATGTTATTTCTTATAGTGCAGCTTAACAGCAACAGCATTGCTTGACTCAGCAACCCAGCCATTTTTGATCAAATGATTCTTCTTTTTATATTGCAGCCAATAGAGTTATTGTGAGGATATAGTTGTCCTTTCTCATTCCAACAGTCATATCCCAACGGATAGAATAAGCTCACGTGTTGGATCAGTGACCTTAGCTTGTAGCTTCAATATATTTAATCCTTGGAAACTACGCTTGAACAATACCAACGTCTTTACCATATTTGAATAATTGCATACGTTGTGCTTCAATCTTCTTGATTCTTCTGATGATCCGTCTGATGAGTAGTTCAGAACTACTTTGGTATAAAAGCTTCAGCATCAGAGTTGTTAACTCAAGCACATGATTTATCATATTTGAACAGCAACAACTTATCTGATGTAACCTGTCTTGCATCTGGATGAATCTTCTTCTGACACAATCTTCCACTTCAGAATCCAGTTTTCAGCATTCCAAGAACTAAGTTTCCTCTGAAACAATCTTGAGAATCTTCATGACTAATTCTTCAGAAACCATGTCTTCAGAATCTTCAGAGCCTTGACCTTCAGAACACTTATTCAGAGTCTTGACCTTCAGAACCTGTCTTCAGAGTCTTGACCTCAGAGTCTTGACCTTCAGAACCTGTCTTCAGAGTCTTGACGCACTTGGTCTTTAGAGCCTTCAGCCTTCAGAACTTCAAGTCATCAGAGTCTTCAGCACTTTGTTCTTCAGAGGACTCACTCTTCAGAGATGCTCGTTAGCTTCCAGATCAGATGCATAACTCAGAGTAGAATCTATAGATGCATTGCAACTGCAATATCCAGCATCCTTGATTCTTTACTGAACATGATCAGATGTAGAAACAAACTTGCTTCTTCACTGAGCTTCATTTGCTTTCAGATCAGATGCACTTCTTCAGATCATAATACACAGGAGCATTGCAACTGCAATATCCAGCATCCTTGATTCTTACTGAACGTGATCAGATACATAAGCAAACTAGCTTCTCACATGCGCTTCATGACGTCACACTAAGTAATTCCATAAGTTACTAGTTGCACACGTTGCTTCTGTTTGTTTGGTCTAATATATTTAATTTAATATGACCTGCATATAACAAACATTAAACCATAAAATGGTTCTTTCACAAATACTCAATTGTTATCATCAAAACATAGAGATTATCCTGTAGAGATAAATCTTGCTCTTACAATCTCCCCCTTTTTGATGATGACAAAAACATGTATTTTGATAGAACATTTTATACAGTGTAATCACCAAGCATTAACCTATTCAGAGTTCTAAGCAACTGCTCCCCCTGAATGTGTTAACCTTTAAAACATTTTTATGCTTGTTCAGAGACATACTCTGATCCCAAGACTTACAAAAAATAAATTTGATAAAACATAATCAAATAGAGTAGAATAGAAGGAATACTTCCCTACGATATAAGATAGCATAAGTCTTCAGCATCTGGACTAGTTCAACAGAACTTCCATCTTCAGATCTTTAGAACTTGTCTTCTCTAAGCATCGTATCAGAGTCATATAACTTCAGAATCTTCTAAAGCATTTTCTCTTGATCTTCAACACATCTGTTTATCTACAGATGAGAAACTCCCCCTGAGTTTCAGACTGGGTGAAAATCAAATATCCTGACTTGTGAACCTTCCTGGGAGAACTCCCCCTGATTACAGTATGTCAGATATTTGGATTTTCTGATCTTGATACAGTCTTGATTCTTGCTTTCTCAGACTTGCTTTCTTCTCAGATTTTTGATCTCTTGAAGCAGTCTGGTACCAATAGAAACCAATAGAATGTTTACTTCTGAATCTGATTCCAATATTGAATCTGAGTCTGATACCCATGTTGGTTCTTAGTCTGACACCAATACATGATACTCATGATTCTGATTCTGAATCCAGATCTTGCTTCTATGAAGATTTCTGATTCTTATGCTCTGATTATCATATTCACAGATAGACAATTTACATCTTCTGAACATTCTGATTCCAGATGACTTTAACTTTCAGATCTCTGAACAGTATTGGGTCTATATGATTCTGAATCTATGTTCACGAAGTGTATAACTTCTATTATATGAACACCAGTTCATTTGAGCTCAGATTTCTTTCAATTATCTTGTTTAGAATGCCTAGTGAACTTGTTCAGAGTTCCTCGGAAAAACATCAA